CGTAACGTCGTGGCGTTTGCCTTCTATGGTCCCCAGAAATGGATAGCGAGGCCATCGGGAACGACAACACTTTGGTAAGTAAGACAATGAACCCTTTTGTGGCCCGAGTACACCTGTTTTTGCAGGTTCTCGCGGTGTCCACGCCGTGATGAAGTACGTGAAATCGCAATTTTGGTTCCGTCGATAAACCCAAAAACGTTGGGCATCGGCGCACTGCGAGCCTCAACAGCACTAGCATAGGTAGCGATACTGCGACGACACAAACTCTTATGGAAGTAGATCAGAGTGTTGTATCTATCATACAAGTACACAACTTTCCAAAAACAGCATTAGTATTAGTTTTACCATGCCAAACAAAGTAATGCATTCTCACGTACTCATATGAGAGAATATCCTGCTGATAGGGCCCTCTGCACGCCCAAACTTGCTGGATAGGTCCAGGTTTCGGCGTGGGTAGCTAAGGCGGTAAAGTAGAATGCAGAGTGCTTCTGTACAGTGGACCTTGTCTCGATTGCGTGTTACCACGTATTCAGGTAGGGCAAAATGAAGTGTGAGAGCGTAGATTGTAGCTCTGTCGAACCGAAAGTCGCTCTTGCAGTTGACGTCGGACTGAATATCGAGCTTGAACCTTATGGCTGGAATAAAAGGTCTCTCTGGCGGGACCCCTCTTGCGAGGTATAGAAGCTGAAGAGCGTCGACGTTGGTGGTGCTGAGGCTCAGAAGAAGAGCGTTTTCCATAGGAACTGGTTGGCTGGTCTTGGAGGATGATAAACTCTGAGGATGAGGGTGGAGAATGCTGCGAAAAGTAAAAAACGCTATGTCCACACAATAGTGCCGTGGCCTGTCTATATTTTACGGATAAGGATAAAGCTTTTCTGCGAAAGGTCTCTATTGAATATGCTAGTGTTCTTTACGTACAACAAGGACATGTGGGATATGTACACTGCTGATCCGGTCAGATCGTAAATAACGCGTGTGCACGACCATAATACATAATAACTGCAAATATATTTGTCTGCTTGCTCGGTTTTCATTAATACCTTTATGAAATACTGTCCTTTACTGTCCAAAAAAAGGACGCACCAAAATCTTTCCTTGTGTCTGGTCCCGTCAACAGCAACACCGAACACTTCGAGGAGCTCGCTCTGACCTCTTGCTTGACTTCCACGTATATGTAACCCGTAAAGCGAAATCGGATCTTTGTGTGCTCTAGGACCAGCGTCATGGCACGCACCACCACTTTCTCCTTCAGGGTAGACCGAATAAAAGCACAGCCAAGATCAGTATCCAACTTTAATGGATCTGTAGCTTGGACCGGTACCTACCGGGATGTATTTTATCTCTTCAGACTCAAAGCTTCCTGTCATTTTATCCATGGAGGCCTTCGCGACGACACAATAGTTGAATGATAGCACCTCACACTTGAGGAAGTCAATCCTTATGTTGGGAAGCAGACAGAGACTGCTGATTGACTTTGTAGAATGGAGACGAAACGATGCTGCGACCTTTCGACTGAAAGACGCTATCTGTATCGCTAAATAAGTTCTTTAGATCGTGACTCAGCTGCTTCAGTACCTTGTACTCATGAGGAGGGCCGACAGACACGAGGTTTGCGCTGAGGCCCCGAGATACACCTGCGCATGTGAGCTATGTGAGGGAGGTTATATACTTGTTTAAATGTAAGATGATAGCCCACACACGTTCATTCGCACCTTCGACGTTGCCGGCCTGTGGAACAGCGCGACTTCTAGTCATAATAGTACCTTGAACGATGCCGATTACGACCAGGAGAATGTGATCTTCAATGCTCAGTAAAGTAAAGTATCACGACCACGCAATTTGATGAGCACTACGGAACAGAAAAAACGTTTTAGCAGCCTACTGTGGTCATGTCACCGAAGCCAGCTACAAAGAGGTCCACTTCGGCAACAAAGACACTAAAAAGTGCCGCAAAAACGGAAACACAGAAGCTAAAGAAGCTGACAAAGCTATGAACTACAAGCGCAAGGACTTCGGTAGCGCTTACAACGAGGCATTCAAGAAGAACCAAGCCTTTAGCGAGACTAAGTTTAAGGTATAAATGAGAGTGGTCGTTTCGGGGATTTAAGCGTCGGCGCTGACTACACTCGTTTCACAGAAATCTAAGGGCTAGCCAGGCAATTAAGTCCGATAAAGTCTACGAATGGGAACTTTGTTTTGCTTGAAATGTCGCTAAATTTGGACCTTATGACAGGAAAAACGTATTATCAAGACAAGTAGGTACTTAAACAGGCGGAATCGGCGTCTTAAGTGCTACTAACATGTTAGCTTAATTTTCGAGACACTAGCTAGCGGTTAGCTAACAGGTACACATTTTAGCGTCAGGGAGTACTTTAATTCGAAGAAGTGCAGATGGTTGCTCCAGCATTCTTTCCTGATCCGACTCCAACAAACAACAGCAGTACTATGGCGTGAAATGACCCTTGCGTTTTATTGTTTCTGAAGTGTTGGCATCCGGAATACCCAGAATTAGCGCTGTATACTCCTTAATAAATGGTGTATCATATTTCGTTTGCTTGGAGTATTTTAAGGATTCTGGCGGTGTGTCGATGTAGCACCCATCGTCATTTTCATCGTCACTGTCACCTTCAGCGGCGGGGAAATCACATATATCCACGAGTCCTTCGTTTGAAGCGTGGCGTTGTAACGCAGCACACGTAGAAATACTTGCTTGTTGATTTTGTCAAAGTCTTTTGCGTCCTTAATCTGCGTCCATATATCGTATAAAGAAGCCCACTGATTCTTTGGTTCCCCATACAATTATCGTTTACTACTCGTGCGCTTGGCAACATCGTATTGAACCACGCATTGTCGGGTTGTGTGGTCGGAGGCATCATATATGGATGAATATCATCAATTCTCCGACCCTACTTAACTTTAGTATTGGCATTAATCACCAATCATCCATTTTTATTTACTAGACAGCCAATCGTACGGTCTTGACAAAATGATTTGGCCAATCCAAAGGCTAAGGGTTAGGTTGAACCTCGTTGGAGCTGGGTCCGCCGGAGAGGACTCGGGAAGTATGGATATGCTCTTACAAATTTTAATATGTAGGCATATCATATGCATAAAGTCATTTCTCCGACTTCTCCGACCAGTTCAATCATTACCACACACTAATTATAAATCTTAGACTTATCATGGTACTAGTAGTAAGGTTAGAAGAGGTGGGAAGCAGCGCCGCAGGGAGCTTGCTTGCCATTAGGAGCAATACATGCAACAACCCCTGCGTGGTAATCCAATATTTTCGTATTACGTAGTGCAATATGTAGCAAGCGTCAATTAAATGTACATGTATTGCATTATTAATTCTTAAGCACTCCGGCTCGCTGCCTCCTGTGCACCGCACTGCTACCACCTACTGTGCACCGCCTTCTGTGCACCGCCTTGCCACCATCCTGCCACCGCGCCCTGCCGCCGCCCTTCCACCGCCACCGCCTTGCCGCACTGCCATCGCCCTTCCACCGCACTGAGACCGCCCTGCCACCGCCACCGCACTGCCGCACTGCCATCGCTCTGCCGCCGCACTGCCACCGCGCTGAGACCACCCTGCCACCGCTGTGCTACCGCCCCGAGACCGCCCCCTCCTTTTTGTTTGTAAATACATTTTCAATGTGGCCCACAGTTAAAAAAGAAAACTTAATATATTTATTTTAAGAGTTACTGACTTAGATGTGCCGCCATTTATGTACAGGTCGGGGGTTGTCGGAGGTCGTTGATTTTATGTTATGGTGTTAAAAACCGCTCTGACAAGTCATCCATTATATATTCACCGATGGAAGAAAATTGTTCTGGATTCTTGCTAACTTGAGTGCGAGAAAACGCTAAGAAGTCATCGCACGACCCTGGTCAGCTCGTGTGTGCATACAGGGTGTGTTGATCTTCATCGCAGAAGATCCCCAAAGCCCCTTTGGTATGAAGAAAAAATTACCACCAACGTGGGTCTTCTTTAAAACGTTTACGCAAGCTCCATCGACAAATCCAATATCACCACTTAGGCCACATCGCGCACTATCAAATTCCGAAGAGACTGCTCTCTTTGGGGTGGAAGACCACGCTACGAAGCTGGAGTAGTTATGATAAGTAGATATTTCTGAACGCGCTGAAATAACTCGGATTTAGTCCCAGCTCCGAACCCGTACAAGCGAGCAATTTATCCACAGGTATTCTCATTTCCATATGTTCCGCAAATGTCTGCCTGCGTGTTTTCACTATCGTCTTAAAAGATCGGGTCGTCCACAACAGGTCAAGAAGGTAGTCGAATGTTGCAGGATCCACGCGAGCAGACTGGCGAAACTCTTTTTTACTTTGCTTGAAGAGATTGTTTCGATGTGCCGTCGTTCACGGTACCTTTTAGCGAGCCGCCATGTGTAGCATTAGTGTAAAGATCTGCTAACTCATCGACTTCTTCATCGCCTTCACTAAACCCGCCATCTAGTGCGCTTCTGCTCTCTTTATCCAAGTGGCCCCACCCAACACTGTCGCTGCCCTCATTCGCTGCCAGCAAGACACTTGATATGGCACTGGCAAACTTACTTTTCTCCGGTGCAGGCATATCTTCTGAGTCCCCGGTTATTACAGCACCCACAGCAGCCCACAGCGTCAAATCTGTGGCCGACACTTGATGGTCGTGGCACCATCACAGACACATTCACGTCAATATCGGTAGTGGGCTAACATGGAGCCAATTCATGACGATAAACACCGTTGCCAAAGCCACGCGGTGCTGTGACCTGTGAGACGGGCTGTCAGACAGCCTGGGGTGGATGGAACAAGGAGCTTCTGCTGCTAACCCTCGCGAAGCTAGTGCGCTTTCTCTAGTGGGTCAACGATTCTCGTCAAACCCAAAGCTTGCGGGTTGAGAATCAGCGAGCCAGGGTGTCATAGTTGGCCAACCATGTTTTCAGCTTATTGTCCAGGTCATTATTTACGAGACTTTAAAAAGAAAAATATGATCTGAAGGAATATTGATTTCTCCACCGAAGCTGGATTTAAATTTCTAACTGCTTCCAGGTCAGCTTTGGCGGAATCGGCCGGTACGTACGGCCATTCTCTGAAAAACATTAGCATTCATTGATGGCAGCAGCTCCGACTTGCCCCCCCCCCAGGGTACTCTATAGCTTCCACTGGATCGACGATCACGTAAACGTTGCCGCAGACGTCCATGACAGCAGTCATGGGGCCCACCGCGGTGAGCGAGGAAAACTTCACATCTTGGAACACGCACCGGAAAGTACTCGATCTTAAATTTGAGACAAAAGCAGCCACTGTCGTGACGCCAACCGCCGAAATGTCCACACCCAAAATTTCATCAGTGATGCGCTTCAAGCAGCTAGCTTTTTGCGAAGCGCGATCCGCTCTCTTCAGGGATTGCCGCGCCACGTCGCCACTTGCGTCCGCTTGGATCAGGCGTTCCCATGCGAGTGAAAGATTCGTCAATCACGCTTTTCCCGCCTGTGCAAATTAGGCGGGATGCGCGAGGATCTCATATGGTGGTACAAGATCCGGCTCTTAGTGGAATCTCCCTTGAATATTTTAACGCACTCCCCGAACCCGACAGAACCGTGTATACACACGCCTCAGACGAGGAGCTCTCGATTCAATGTGTCGGGCCTCTCTCACGTACCAGCCCCAACTGAGGGAGCTACGACTGATCAACGATTTCAAAGACGTTCAAGCCAACCACTTCGACATCAACTACTGCGAAAATCCCCTATGCGCGTTTGCCGTCTACACATGAAGCCAACTACAACGCCACCCGCTCCATCCACGTCCATTTCCGCATAGATAACACCTCAGCCATCTCTTGGCAGGCGAAATTGGCAACGCGCAGCCCGGGCGCCCAGCTCCTCGTCCGCCTCTTGGGTATATGGGATTTGCAGTTTGAGATACGGGTCTCGGCCTCGAACCTTCTCGGCAGCGTGAACACGGCGACCGACACAAGGTCACGACAATGGAAATGCGCCATATACGCCGCTGTTCGGCATTCTCGCATCTGGAAAGAGGGAAGATCCACCACCAGCGAACATCGACAGCCTTGACCATACCCTGGCATCATATCGCCGCGAGCACGCCGTCACTGATTCATCTTTCCGTGCGTACGCGCGAGCCTTCGAATACTCGAAACAATGAGCGAGGTTAAGCGGACGGTGCTGACAGGTCGACCCCCCCCCCAAACGAGCAGCTTCACGCGATATCAGAGTTCGTCATCGATGGTGCCCACGCAGGCTTAGGCTCCTGCGGACCCGTGTGCTGCTCGACATTCATTCTAAATTGTGCGGCATACGCTACTTCTTAGTTGCCGATGAACTCAATTTCCGGGAGAAACTATCGAGCACATTTTTTTTCTTGGCTCTGCAAGAGAACATCCGCACAGTAGCAGATGTTCAGACGTATGATTTGATTGAAGTTACACCTGGAATTGTCATTTTGTAGATGACGTCTAGACAAATGAGACGTCCGTGTTGGAGGGATCTTTCGTTGGTGTAATAGTAGAAGTTCAGGACCATCGGTCGAGAAGTGTGTCTACGTTGAACTGGGGGATCTGCCGGCTCGCTCCGTTGAGGGACATCCCGGTGCTGCTTCCTGTAATACCGGACACGTTCTTTCTCGTTTTTCTTAAGCCGTCGCTCCTCACGTCTCCGTCGTACTGCAGTTTTACTGCAAGAAAACTTCTTCTTCAGGTGCCTCTTAAGCGCAGTAGGCGACGATAGATTTTTCTTGCACTCACGGCATCTTGTCTTCGGCTTCGCTCGTGACATCTTTCTTCTCAAATGAGAAAGAAAACTTAAACTTTTAGCTCATAAATAAAAAATATTTTCTCATAAATTGCATCGTCCCATGCTTTCACTCTTATATTTAATATTTAACAGAAACTGCAACACAAAAAAATGATACCAATTTAAATCACTGCTATTTTATACCAGAAAACTGCAAAACTATGCCAGAAACTGCAAAGAATGGCAGAAAAAAAGTTTTTGAAGAGGAATACAAAAATCCTAAATTAAACCCATGCTTCCACATGATAAACATCTTCTTCAGGTCTGGGCAACAAGTTTCCGTTACATTATTCCTACGAGGTAAGATCTTGAAGGTATGCTAGCAGACAACGTACGCTATCACTTTTTCAATCATTGTAGAATTATCTCCGTCACACCAATGCAAAACCAACCAGGGGCACAGCAGGCATTCTTCACTATTCCTCCTCCTCCGGAGTGTGTATACCCAAGCTATCAGGCTGCTGAAGGTGCGCTTCACGCATGGACGAAGGCCAACTCCTTTAATGTCTCCAAACGCACCGCCTCATACCTTCGTGATAGAGCTAAAGTCATCTATGCTCGGTATTTCGAGTGCGACCGCGCCGGTAAGCCCAAGAACACGGGCAACTTAAGGGATAGTGATCGAATTCGAACAATGCGCGGCTCCAAACGTATTGGGTGCCCCATGAAGATCAAGCTCGTGGCAGTAAAGAAAGACGTTCCTGAAGGAGAGTGGGCAATCGTTCATTTAAAGCACGGCAGCTCGCGCCATAACCACCCAGCTTCAAACGATGTGCGCGTACACGCATCTCACCGCCAGCGAGCCGTATCGGAAATAACGCAAGCTCCTGTACCAACAATGCAGGCTTTTGTCAGAGCTCAGACCGCAGCAGGAGTTCAGGTCGCAAATGTGTATGCTAGTATCCTGTCCATTGATGCGGATGCTATGGTCATTCCCAAGGACCTAGCTAACGCTAGGCATGCAGCTCGTCAAGAAGCACTCGCCACGCAAACCCCAATAGAAGCTCTCTTTTCAGACATGAGAGAGCTTGGTTTTTTCTTCAGGCATGCTGTTGACGCCGAAACAAATCAACTCCGATACCTCTTTTGGTCTCATCCGTCGACTACAGAGTTTTACAGACAACACTCCGACGTCCTCGTCGTTGATTGCACCTACAAGACAACGAGATACAACATTCCCCTCTTAAATATCATCGCAATGACGGGTTTTAACACTGTACTTCCGGTGGCCCAGTGTTGGCTACCAGGACAAACCGAAGATGACTTCGTTTGGGCGTTCAACACCCTTGTGGAATATATGGAAGAAGCCGGTGCTGTTCAACCTCGAGTGATTTTATCGGATCGTGATCTCGCTTCTTTGAATGCTTTACGTCGTGTGTTTCCAGCGGTGTCTACTATGATATGTAGATGGCACATGAATCGGAATGTGCTCAGCAAAACCCGCCAAGTTCTAGGTCAAATTGAAGTTGAGCAGGCAGCTCCTGGTCAAGATAAGTTCGTTAACACATGGGAGACAGACTCCTTTATGATGACCTACTATGAAGCTGTGATTTCTGAGACCGAAGCTGCGTTTGAGGAAGCCCGGGTTATTCTTAAAAAGAAAAGCGCAATTGTGTCTGCGTACCTTGATCAACATTGGTGGAAGTACAAGACAAAAATGGTTCGTTGTTGGACTAATCGGTACGCACACTTTGGGTATCAAGATACATCGACAGTTGAAGGCACCCACGCCA